TGGTTTCATTAATCCTGGCACAGAATAAGTAGTGCTCGTCAGAAGCACACCCGTGAAAACCAGGCATGTTTTCGGCCCTGTCGATCATGCATTGTTTATATTATCACCCTGTGGTACGTCTTGAATATAGGCATTATCACCGTCCAGCAATTTACATATTTTTTGAATGTGGCGATCATTTCTTATACAGAGACAAAAAGACATGAGTTTCATCTGACAGACACACTGAAACTCACATAGACCTCATCTCACTCTGAAGAAGGTGGAGACGAAGTCTGATGTACACAAACACGAGAAGGTAAGCAGATGTGGGTTGAGACCGTTATCTAGTGCAAGGATCCTTCAAGGTAAAGCTGAAAGCCTTCAAAGATGCTGGAGGCAGACCAATAACACACAGAAACACACTCAGAAACTGTAGAATGAAACTACAAAAGACATCTTCGATACAGCCATCAGAACAAAGCAGGAAGTATTCAGTAGTATTACCGAGGAAATCAGTGCGGAAAAACTAGTTGAAGGTGATGTGTACAACCATTATAGGGAGACGGGAGAGGTAAGAAAGGGAATGGTTCTATAAAGAAACCTGCAAACTGACAAAGGAGACGGATATGGTGAAACGGAAGGTCAACCACTAATAAGATAGACAACAAAAGGAGAAACTGAGTTGAATGTACAACGCACTGAATAAAGAAGTGAAGAAGAGTGCAAAGGAAGACAAAAGACAATTATTCAACACACTGGAAACTGCAGAAGAACAGGCTGCAGGTAGAAGAGACCTCAGGACATTATATCAGATAACCGGGTCTCTCTCTGGGAAGAGGTCAACACAGATGGAACCAATGAAAGATGTTCAAGGGAAGCTAATTACCAGAGAGGAGGACGGACAATGAAAACAATGAGCTGATCACTTTAAACGACTCCTTAACCGATCACCACTTACAACTTGCCCACAAATACCACCAACAGCATGCACACAACTGCCTGCCAGTGGACAAAAATCCTTTTACAAAAACAAAAGCCTTGGATGGAATCAAGCTACCGAAAGCCAATCGGGAAGGCAGCTGGATCAAACAGAATTCCTCTGTAAGCACTGGAAACTGAATCTGAAACAGCAACGGATATGTTCACGCCACTATTGCGAAACGTTTGGAAGGAAAGCAATTTACCTACTGATTGGAAGAAAGGCTACCTTGTCAAGCTACCAAAGAACGGCGACTCAGGACTCTACAAGAACTGACACGGAATCATGCTCTTCTCCATGCCAAGTAAAATAGTAAATCGAGTCATCCTGGGAGACTGAGGGATGCTATGAATGCAGGACTCCCTCCGGAACAAGCTGGATCCAGGGAATGTAAATCATGTGCAGATCAACTTTCAGCGCTACGTATCATCATCGAACAGAGCATGGAATGGCAGTCAAACCTCTGCCTCAACATCATTGACTTTGAAAAGGTGTCCGACAGCGTTGACCGTAAATTAATTTGAAAACTTCTTCAACACTACGAAGTACGCGAAATCTTTATCAACCTCATTCAACGACTACGTGACAATGTCACATGTCAAGTGACCCATAACGGAAAACTCAGTGAAGCGTTTGAAGTGGAGATAGGAGTAAGACAAGGCTGCCTATTATCACCGATGATATTCCTAATTGTGGTGGATTGAATTATGATGGATACTGTATGAATATTTGGACTTCGCTGACGATTTAGGTCTAATATCACACAAACTCGAAGACTTACAGATGGAAACCAACAAGCTAGCAGAAGAAGCAGTAGAGGCAGGACATCAACTAAACATGGGGAAGACGCAGACGATAAAAAGAACAAGCAATAATCACCACCAATGGGATAAATCTAAAGGAAGACACTTTCGCGTATCTAGGTAGCATTGTTTCAACTAAAGGTGCCACGGAGAGAAATATCAAAGCATGTATGGAAAAGCAAAACAGATATTCAATACTGTGAAATCAATCTGGAAGTCTACTGCAATCAGTTTATAACAAACAAGACTTGGATTTTTGAAACTAATATCAACTCACTACGTCTACATGGATCAGAGACTTGGCGCGTCATGAAAAGCATTTCCAAAAGGTTGCAGACGTTTATCGGCGCCTGTCTTCACTCGGGAACAAAGATTAGATGTCCGAAAATAGTAAGCAACAAAGAAATTTACTATCAAAGCAACCAAAAACATATCCCCGAGTAAATATGCTGACGGGGATGGAAATGGACTGAACATACTCTGAGAAAACCATTGAGTGATAGATATTGCGCAACAGGATCTCCCGTGGAACCTGAATGGCAAACGGCGAGTTGAGAGCACGAAGGTGACATGTAGGAGATTGTGTGAGTAGGAAATGAGAGTTCATCAGTAGTTATGGTTCTACACAAAGAGGACTGCAGAAAACAGGATGAAATGGAGATGTGCCATTGAAGCCTGAAGTCCCACTCAGAACCCGAAGGAATAATGGAAATATTGAGGTGAAGCATAGTGTGGCTATTGAAATTGGGAGATTACACTAGGCTAGCTGTCTTCGGCCAAATGCATTCTATCTCCCGTGTTAAGTGGTACAATATACTGACAGATATTTGAGGTGAAGCTTAGAGTTAGGTAAGAATATCAAGTCAATCGATTAGGCTGTGAAGAAATATCGATTGAGATGGCTTGGACACGTGTCATGTATGCTGAGCCTCCGCCTTCCTCGGAGACCGATGTTAGCTGACATAGGATTAGGTTGGAAAAGAGTTAGGAGTGGTCAAGTCAAAATGTGACATTAGTCCATGAAGTCATTGACAGTTGATTTAGACTACATAGGGGGATGTAGGCTGGCTGATGGGGGAGGGGTCCTCGTGATGCTAAGATCCAGTGGTTGAAGACTATTGCTAATATGGCTCTAAGCCACTCCTAGTAGCGCAAATCAATTCACCCCCTGTGATACCCTATATCCATTAAACCATAATGTTTCGCCATGTTACTATTCCTTTCCGCTCATATTTTTGCTTATAATTATAGTGCTTTTAAATTCCTTTCTCCCTCCTTTGTGTGGTATTTGGAGTGTAGCAACTTGAACTGCTGCCGTTTTGTGCAAAGTTCTATGTTGAAACTCAGTCAGTCATGAACACCTTACCGCTGACCACGGACAGTTGCCAGGTAAGTTGGGATTTAGATGTTTTGAAGTAAACGTTGTCTAACACTTTCTCCCCATTATGAAGGTAGGATCGTTCACTTGTTAGTGCTTCGAGAGGAACATGTTACCGATTTTACATACATAGTCGCCAGCAGAACGACTTCATTTCGAACCCTAGTCCGCAGCACATTGCAAGCAGCTTACACCATGATGATAATTGGTTTTCTCTAACCGCTGTCCAAACGAATGTTCCGGGATAGTAAGAACTGCAGAACAGCCAGTGTGGCTCTTTGGGACACTGTGACATGAGGACCCTACCAGCGCATTAGGGTAATGGCTTTCAAGTAGGCACACTTTCCTATCATCAGGGTTCCCACCGTTGGCCATTATCCCCATGTCATTTAATTTTCGGAATGAATAGTTGGTCTGTTAGGCGGTACACTGATCGAACACGTCAAAGAATGGTAGAAATATTATGCAACTTGGAAGGTCCAGCTACAGATTCTTGTGTTACGTTACAAGTCAAATCTCACTATATAAATAAAGTAATACCACTTCGGTATTCTGAAATGAAATAATGAGAGTTTAAACCCACGACCTACGGCTTAAACAGATGAGCCACTCTCACATGTAGGATGACATATTACCATCAATAAAGTAACTGGTTTTGATTGCCGATATCACTCGCTTTCGGACAGGTGTGTGGAAACTGAAAACTGTGAAAACGTGTTTACTTTTCAATTAAGTCCTTTTGGGAGCCCATATAACCTCGGTGTGACTGTACCCGTAGGCCTGATTACTCCATATAACCCTTGTAGGATAACTGTTGTTCAGGCCTTTTTAATGACTCAGTTCGTTGTTTCACGATCTTTATAGTTAGGTCAGTAGAAGTTAAATTTCTTTTTTTCCAATTTTCGACAATAATTCGATATGCTATTCGTCTAATCTACGTATTCCGTCTTATTCATGATTAGTAATCTAGAACCTTCATCCGGTTTGGTAATTATTAAATTCTCTTTCTTCCGTAGCTTATTTAAGACTTCCCTTTGTTTCCTGTTTGTTTTTTATATATTTATAGCAACGATCGACGAGAGTTGACTTAAGTCTTCCAATGATAAATGTATCAAATCTTCAATCTGCGTATGGAGGTTATCAAACTGAAATGCTTATCGATTTTATTGATTCTAACACGATCATCACAAAACTTAGCTCTAAGAGATAATACGTGCAAATCTGTTTCCTCGAGGACAGCATCCGAAAAATTATAAACGTACCTACCAAGGCTTGAAGGAAATTGCGTTTCGGGGAATTCGGCTTCTAGGACTTTATGATAATTTGCCACTTTTTTTTCTTTCCCTTTACCGGCAATTTGATTTACATAGTCCAGAAAAGGTTTCTTTGAGTGCTATGGGAGTTCATCCACAGCATAGAATCTTTCTGCACTTTCTTTGATACTACATGATTTCAGCGAATAAATCTGATTTAGTGCATAGCGTTTGAAGAGAGAGTTCAAAACACGTTTCTGTTTTCTATAGGAATTTTATAACTTCAAGCAGAAGTGGTTTTGGAGGCATGTAAAATTAATGACTTTAACGACAAGACTTTATTTTTCAAAGAATAGTATATGTACATATTTCAAATTTGTTAAGGGAAATAACTGTATGGAGCATATATTTATTTATTTTTGATTTACAGCTTGATTCCACACTGTATTTTTGGTACAAGCATGGAATTTTCAGCATGAATACCGGTAGCCCAAATTATGCAGGCCGACCATAGATATCAGGTGTACGTCTGCAGGGGATCGAACCTCGGACCATGTGCATGGTCGGCGAGAGACCTAACCACTGTGCTACCGACGCATATATCTGTCTGTCTGTCTGTTTTCGACATAAAACTTTGCACAAATATGCGACAGTTCAAGTCGCCACACTCCGTGTAGCACGCGAAGCAAGAGAAGAAAGTATAAGAAAGGCATAATAGAAACTGTGAGCAGAGGGGTGAGACAAAGGAGGAGTAATAACGAAGAAGAAAACAGTTTCATTGAAGATCATAAGTCACAAGGACGCATATATATATACATCTATAAGTGTAGGTTATGTACATTTGACAGTTTTTAATAAATTTTGACGTAAGTAACCATCTGTTTTACGTGATAAAGGCAAGACTAATTTTGATAACACATCCAAAATTCCGGAGCCAGTGAATGCATTCTCACAATTGCTGTTAGCCCATGTATCTGGAAATTCATTTGAATGACATACGTTGTTCTCATTAGACTCTTCATTCGAATTATTAACTGTTAAATGTTTAAGTAAATCACTCCCAAAGTATGTTCGACTAATCCCAGTGTTCCGTAATAATTCGAGACCACTAGAACGTTTCCGTAGTGGGATCTAGATTACAAACAAGCAAAAGAAAAAAAAAGTCACTCAATAATTCTGTAATTAAAAAGACTGAGGAAATTATTAAAAGAAAAACATTTACATTCTCTTTATCATCAAACGTCCGAAGTTAAGTGGCACTAAGACTGAACTATGAAGTTGTAAAAGCATTACTCTAAGAGAAGCCGTTGTAAATCAGCAATAAATAAATTCATATGAAGACCTCAACATCGCTTGGAACAGAATTTAGTGGGAATTTGTTACTCACTGGTCTAGAAAACCGATTCACAACCAGCACGTCGGCCACTGATGTTAGCTGAAATAAGATTTGGTTTGGAGAGTTAAGGATGGTCAAACAAAAACAACGTCAACTCATGAAGTCTTTAATTGTAGGTGTGAGCCACGTAATTAGGTTTACATATTATAGAATACTAAGAATCAATGGTTTGAAACTGTTATGTTGCTGCTGCTGAGTAGTTAATAGTAGTTTTCCCCGTCGCCAAATTGTTATGTACTCGTCGCTAAATTATTGTTATGGACTGGTCGAAAAACTAATAGTCCTGACGCAAGAAGGCGGAAATCAGAAGACCACTAGGTTTGCGATGATACTTCTATTTTCCAAACACCAGGAGAAGCAAAAGTGGTATCACACCAAAAGTAAGTAAGTAAGTAAGTGTAATCACAAGATTGTGAGAACGAAATATATATATATATATATATATGAAATGTTCAGACAAAGGTGTGAACAATCATTAGACAGTCTTAACATGAATGGCTAATTATAATGAAGTATCGATCCATATATACATAGCGAAATATAGCAGACATGTCAACCACCACCATATATGGATATATGTCACCAAGCAACGGACTGTCAACAAACACTCATATTATATATAATATAAGGGGAATATATATTGTTAAAGGAGACAAGTTCATACAAGTGAAATGGTCACAGACTAAGCGAGCAAACAGAAAGAGAGATCAACATACACACACACACACATAAATATATATATGTGGATACATATCAGAAACTAAAAACAACAGATACACTCACTGTATCATTCTTCACATTTACAACGTCTTCACTAGTCTTTATTGTTCTCATATTTCATCTGATGTTAGGAAATATACAACTTTAACTGACCCACTGATTTGCGATTCGCAGATTTGACTTCTGTTCAGCCAGGCAATGTTAATAACCAGAATGATAGTTTAGACAAGATTTAAAGAACTCGGAGACCAGGTTTGTATGAATTATTTTACTGAGGTTTTCTTTTAAAAGTAATTTTTGTCCCGATTGATATTAGGGAACAGTGAAATGCGACTGTGACCTTAAATAAAACTGTGTGGAATCTACAGGTCATGCAGTAAACAGTTAAGTGATTATAAGTGTCACCAAATTTTTCAATAATACTTAATATAGGAGGTTTGATCAATTTCATATTACGCTAATAAGTCAACCATATTCTTAAATTGTGTTTTGGGCTCATAAACATTTTAAACCAATCTTCAGCCTATCGGTTCGCATTTAACAAAAAAAACATCACTGAGGGATAGAATGCCGTTTTAAACAGAAAATCACTGCATTTAATGACACAGTAGATTACTATTACTACTTTACTTAAAAGTACTATAGAAGGAGTAGATATTTTGCAACAATATGTACTGAGTGAAAAACAAAGCGATATTGTTTTTACTGACGTTTCGCTATTTAATGCTAATAGCTTTATCAAAGTATTACTAAGCGGGAATTTACAAAATCTCAGCATATATATAACAAAGAGTTAGGGGGTGAGAAAAATAGACGACTTAGTTCAACTTAAAAGGACATATTGAAAGTCAAAATAACAATGAAGATCACTAAACCAAATAACAAAGGTAATAGTACGTCTGTTATGATATGTTTACTAACTTGATCATTGTAACAAGCAATGTTAAACAGTCGTCTATTTATATATTACAAGCCATATCTATGAATCCTTTCAAAAATTGTTTAATGAACGAGAATCTCATTTTCATAATGTCACTAAAAGAAGACATACAAAAATTCTCGAAACTCGAAGAAAAGAAACAACCAAAGAAAACCTCCGCAAATGAAATGAAGAATATTAGAGCCATACATAACATGTAAGATAAAATACTAATCGAAAATACTACAGAAAGGTCTGAATTTCAATATCACTAGAAAGCCGTTATCGGTCCAGGAAATAGCACCTATGATCGAATCAGCTCTACAACAATTCACCAATGAAGAATCACAATCTGTTCGTCAAAATATATCACACATATTAATGACACAACGAAACATACCATCTAATCTCACCAAACAAGAATATGAAGCCTTAAGAAATTTGAACAAAGACAAAAGTATCGTTATAACGAAAGCCAACAAGGGAAACATCACTGTGATAATGAACAAAACAGACTATGAAAAGGAGGCAACTGAACAAATATCTGAAGGACCATACTTACTCATTCGAGAGAAGAAGAAGTCCGCCGAATTCAACAAAATAAAACTAAATACAAACAGACTACTTCAAGAAATGAAACCAAAAATTGGAAATTCGCTCTGGTTTACACTTAAACCAAAATCTTATATACCTTCAAGATTCTACGGTCAACCAAAGATACATAAACCCACAGTTCCATTAAGACCAGTGATAGATTTCACCAACTCACCAACATACAACCTTTCTAAATACTTACTCTCGGTGCTACAACCACTACAAAAGGACACTCAAAATATTGTAAGAAACTCATATTATTTCAAATCCCAAATAGAACACCGATAAATTGATAAGGAAGACATTATGGTAGGCTATGATATTAACTCATTACTGAGAGTCTTTATATCATCTCCAGTCTACTAGAATCAGATACAACGCTATTACAAAGATGTCCACTGGACACCAGTGGCTCAATGGTCTACGAGCTCGCCTTGTAACCAGAAGGTCCTGGGTTCGAATCCCGGTGGGTGCGTACTGCTGAGGAGTCCCAAACTAGGACGAAACGGCTGTCCAGTACTCCCAGGTTTTCCAGTGGTTCTCTAACTGATGTCAGCTCATGATTAAATCCTCCATGCAAATAATTAAAAGCTTGAAATTCTGTCTAGAAAGTAATTATTTTACATTTAAAGGGAGTTTGTGTAGATAGAAAAATGGTGCTGCTATGGGTTCACCAGTCTTCCCAATAGTCGCTGACCTTTTCGTGAATCGATTCAAAAATAACATTTTTTCAAGCATACTCACTCGTAAAATATGGTTAAGATATGTGGATGATACTTTTGTAGTACTAAAACGAGATCTACACAATTCATTCCTGGAGAAAATAAACTGTGTATCTCCCAAAATCCAGTTTACTTCGGGAGCAGAATCAGACGTCGGTGAACTACCGTTTCTAGACTACCTAGTTAAGAGGAGAGAAAATGGACATTTTAGTATACCCATATTCAGGAAGAAAACCCACTCCAATAAATATTTAGGCTTCAAATCATCACACCCCATCAGCGCAAAGATTTCAGTTGTTTCAAGTCTTCTTAAACGAGCACACTCTCTGATTACGGATGAGAAAGAAAAAGAAATATCAAACATTACTGAAACTCTCAAGCAAAACAACTACCCAAGGAACTTCATCAACAAAATCAACACAGACATTAAGTATGGCCGAAAACGTATTTGTCATTCCATATAGAGCAGAGACGTCAGACGATATCAGAAGAGTACTCAATCAGCTCGACATCAGAATTTTCTTCAAAACATCAGACACACTTCAAAGCAACCTTGTCCATATAAAAGATCAATCCCAAAAGATTCTCTATCTAATTGTGTCTATAAAATAAAATGCTTGGAATGTGATGCGATCTACATCAGACAAACATCTCGCGAAATCAAAATCAGAAGAAATGAACACCGTAGAGCATCTGTTTGACCACTGAGAAATCCAATTGAACCAGAAAAACTTGAAAAATCATCAGCCATAGCCTGTCTACATGCTATTGAATCAGGCCACAAAATTGATTTTGACAATACTGAAATAATCCAGAAAAACTTCAGAAATCACAAAGAACGTCTAATATCAGAAGCACTTCATATCAAATGGAATCCAAATTGCCTGAATGGGAATGATGGATTAGAACAGACCCTGACTTAATTACAACACCTCCCCTTCCCTCGCCAACGAAGTGACAAAATCAACACGAATGTGATAAGCAAGTTCACTATGTAAACACACTACTTTTATAATGTCACACACTGATCAAATCTAACAATCTACACTTGGTTTTGCTATCTTCACCAATTGACCAACTTGACAACGAAAAGTAACCCCAGACTGATGAATGATGATCAACTTAGTAAACTTTGTTTTGATATCATGACAGATGTACCATTAACTTTGTTATTTGGTTTAGGGATCTTCATTGTTATTTTGACTTTCAATATGTGTCAATCTGAGAAGGATGTCGGTGGCACCTATGGAGTTCCGTGCCAGCGAACCGACAACGGTGACCGTCTCCTACAGTTCTGCTCTGATAATCATTTGTTTCTTGTAAGCACTAACTTCAAACACAAGGAGAGACACTGTTTGACTTGGAGACCCCCTTCATCAAACCAACGCTGGACACAAATAGACCACATAGCAATAAGCTATCGTTGGCGTGGGTCGGTAGGAGATTGTCGCTCCTTCTGGAACACGTGTGTAGATACCGACCATGCACTGGTCCGCGCTCGGGTGTGCTTACGACTGAACGGACGTAGGAAACAGCTGGCGGTAAAACCATCACGTCCCCAGCTCGATCAGGAAACTAAATCCGTATTTGAGGAAGAACTAGCTAAACACATATCTGTGTTCGACAGCTGTGCTCACCCTGAAGAAGCTTGGAAAAATATCCAGGCAGCCATAGATACAGCTGTAAAAGCTGTGAATAAGGTAAACCCAAAGGTGAGTAAAAACCACTGGATCTCCACCGCCTCATCCGAACTGATAGATGCTAGAAGACTTATTCCGGCGAGCTCCGAATTCAATGAGGAGCGAAAGCTGCACAAGAGGAAACTTACGAAAAGTCTCCGCAAGGACCGTGAACAGTGGTGGGCGACAAAAGCCAAAGAGATGGAGAAAGCTTCGAGGATAGGCAACACCAGGCAACTCTTTAGACTCATCAGGGAAACGGGTGGGAGAAGACAAATCATCAGTGAGACAATCTCGGAAAAAAATGGCACTATAATTAGCTCCCAGGATAGACGACTGGATCGTTGGAAAGAGCATTATGAGGAGCAGTTTAATTGGCCCACAGCCACGCTCAACCTTCCGAGCATCCAACACCTCCCTGAATGGGATATAGACACAGGTCCTCCGTCCCTAACTGAGGTTACTAAAGCTGTCACCAATCTGAAACTAGGCAAAGCAGCGGGACCTGATGGAATGACTCCAGAGGTATTTAAGTACGGTGGAGACAGCTTACTGTCTGCGTTAACTGAGGTACTAGGCAGCGTCTGGGAATCAGAAGAAGTCCCATCGGGTTGGTGTAAGTCACTGATTATCCCCATATACAAGAAGGGAGACAAGTCTTCCTGTGATAATCACAGAGGGATTAGCTTGACTAATATAGTATCTAAAGTCTTAGGCTCAATAATCATGCGTAGACTGAGTGGTGCTCGGGAGGCACAAACACGAGAGAGCCAGGCAGGCTTTAGACCAGGAAGAGGGTGTATTGATCATATCTTCACCCTCCGACAGATTCTAGAACATAGGCATTCCTACCGGCGTCCAACAGTCATTATATTTCTTGACCTAAAGGCAGCATTCGACTCTGTCGATCGGGAAGTTCTCTGGAGATGCTTGGCTGTAAAGGGAATTCCGAGAAAATATATTGCACTGATTAAGGCACTCTACTCGTACTCATACAGCCAGGTGAGGGCTTACGGCGAGCTGTCATCTGAACTGATGACGACCAGTGGTGTCCGTCAAGGATGCCCATTATCTCCTTTTCTATTCAACTTCATCATAGATGTGTTAATGGACTTAACCCTAGGTGACTTCAGCGACTCAGGGATTGACTTGCTACCGGGGAATAATCTCGTTGACTTGGAATATGCAGACGATATAGTCCTTCTAGGCGAAGACGCTGACGAAATGCAGAGTCTTCTAAACACCTTGAGCCGCAATCTACGAATGTTTGGCATGCGATTCGCTCCCGCCAAATGCAAGATGATGTTACAGGACTGGACTACATCGACGCCTAGTTTAAAAATAGGAAGTGAAGTGGTAGAGCACGTTGACCGCTTCACTTATTTGGGAAGTACCATCAGCCCCAACGGGTTGATCTCTGACGAAATCTCAGCACGAATACAAGGGGCTCGTTTCGCATTTGTTAGTTTACGCCGACTCTGGCGTAGACGAGATGTTCGACTATCGACCAAAGGGCGGGTGTACTGCTCATCAGTCCGCTCCGTCCTCCTTTATGGTTGTGAGACCTGGCCACTGAGAGTGGAAGACATGAAAAGACTAGCTGTCTTTGATCATAGGTGCCTGCGTTCTATTTCCCGTGTAAAGTGGCATAATAAGGTGAGCAACATGGAGGTTAGGCGTAGAGTTCTAGGTAAACAGGGGAAATCAATCGACGAAGTCGTGAAGCTACAAAGACTGAGATGGTTAGGACATGTGTTACGTATGCCAAGTCATCGCCTCCCTCGACGAGCAATGTTAGCGGATATAGGGTCAGGCTGGAAAAAAGCTAGCGGCGGTCAAACAAAAACTTGGCACCAGTCAATGAAATCCACAACAGTTGGTCTAAGCCACGTAGGAAGGTGTAGACTTCCAGGCTGGGGTCCTCGGGACGGTAAAAATCTATGGTTGGAAACAATTGGTGACATGGCTCAAAATCGTTCTCAGTGGCGCAGATGCATCCACTCCCTGTGACTTATGATCTCCAATGAAACTGTTTTGTTTTTCTTTATTACTCCTTTGTCTCACACCTCTGCTCACTGTTTCTATTATGCTTTTCTTGTACTTTCTTCTCTTGCTTCGCGTGCTACACGGAGTGTGGCGACTTGAACTTCCGCACATTTGTGCAAAGTTCTATGTCGAAAACAGACAGACAGACAGATTTCCTTTTAGGTTGAACTAAGTCGTCTATTTTTCTCACCCTCTAACTCTTTGTTATATATATGCTGAGATTTTGTAAATTCCCGCTTAGTAATACTTTGATAAAGCTATTAGCATTAAATAGCGAAACGTCAGTAAAAACAATATCGTTTTGTTTTTCATTCATTGGAAAATACAAAAAGCCTTTATTATAATGAATATCATATATCGAAGGCCCAATTTTTTTCAAGCTGTTAAGAGTGAACTTGGTTTGGACATATATAATATATACTGAAAATTTTGCGTTGTATACTTCTTCTTAAAAGAAAGTACAAAGGATACGACTAAGCACAAGTCCAATGCCTTTCAGTCTCCAGTGGATTTCCAGTCCAAGTCAGTCAGAACAACATATTCGAACAGGTACCTTTTTTCATATACTACTTCAAAAGTTTACAAGAAAATTGATTTAGAATAATGAAGACAGAGAAACCTCTATAACTAGGAATATTAAGGAATTGCCTTCAAAATATGCTTACAATATCCCGATGCCCTATGCCAGAGATATAAGCTCCAACACATTGAACATAGTCTTGTTCATCTAATTTACTGTCTACTGAAATTGATTTTTGCGCAGCTGATTCGACCAATTCTTGCCACAGTGTATATAAATTATCATCCAACTTTGGTGATCCTAACAAATTGATTTCAGACTGATCAATTTCATTTGCTGAATGCTCTCCTTCAAACTCAATAGGATCACTTAATTCGTTTACATCCCAATTTTCTGGACCTGACATTTGTTGTCTGATTTGCGTCGACAAGGTCTCTAAAGTATCCACAGTGAACATAACATCTGATTTGCTTTGAAGAATGTTGTCATATTTTTCAGCTTCTTCGCTATATAACTGCACTGAATTTGGATCATTATAATTAATAGTATAATTATAACTTGATAACTCAAAATTATCTCTTGTTTCGTTAATTTCGGGTGAAAAATTAATTATAGATGATGGAAGTAATGAATCTAACTCAGTATCTGAAACATCTTCGCACTTTAGTTCATCTAGGAATTCACAAAGAGCCTGTACCTTCTGTTCATTATCATTAGAAATAGAAAGATCAGGAGGTGACACTGACAAAGGATGAGTGGAGTCTGTATGGATTGATGCAGTATTTGTAGGTTTTGGATTTGTACTTTCCGGATCTAAAACTTCATCCGTACCTCCTCGTGCATCTCGCTTTTGAGCTGAAGAAATATGCACATCTGACTGATATCTGGCTACCTGCATTAATTAATCAAAAAGAAAATAAAACAATAATCAAACCACACATGAAACTAACTAGATCGAATTTCAAAAGATTATGGAACGACAGAACATACTCCACGTTATTTCGAAGCATTAGCCACTGTATTTAATTTTTGAAATGTCCACGTAAGAACAGAACTTCAAACAGGAAGTAATTTAATCCAAATGACCACCACAGTACACAGTAATTCAAAAAAATAAGACTGAGTCAATATAATCTTCATCATTTTGCATATAATGAAGTAATATCTTCTAATAAACAAAGCTGTGCGGAATTACTTTCTGACACATACATTAAGTAATATCCACACTTAGGCACTAATCTCTAGAACTGATCCAAGACTTTTGGATTCACCATGGTTTTTTGTATGCTTTGCTTTTGAATGTCTTTCTTTTTCGCTTGAGGAAGCATTCACTGTAGTTCTTTTCGAATGGTTAGACTTTTTCGTTAATTCTGAGGTTGAGGTATTTTCAACATCCTTCAAATTGGATGTTTCATGGACAGACGGTTGGTCATCTGGACAAACAGAATCAGTTTGTCGGGGCATCTCACGAATGTTCAGCACCTACAATATATGTCGATTAGTAAGCACGATAAATTATTGCGATTATCAAAAAAACTCCCAATAAATCTGATAATGTACAAAAATATAATACTATACGACAATATGAATAGCTTACAATGTCAGTAATTCTTATAGAACACGATTACTGCGACAACAATATTTGTCTAGATTGATAAGCAAAACATTTATTTTTGTGAGAAGAGACAAAAAACATCTTAACAGTAAGCTTTCGATTTTAACTCTTCAAACCGTCTGACTGAGTTTCAGCATAGTCTGTCTGTCTGATTTCGACATAGAACTTTACACCGATATGCAGCAGTTCGAGTCGCCACACTTCACTTAGAACACAATGCAAGAGAAAAAGAAGAAAAAAGTAAAAAAGAAGCGCAAAGTAGAGAGAGCGAAGAGAGATATGAGGTAAAAAAGTAATATCGAAGATGGGTATTAAAAGTCACAGGGAGTGGATGCATCTGCACCAGTCATTTAGAACGATTTTGAGCCATATCACCAATTGTTTCCAGCCATTGGTGTTTACCATCCCGAGGACCCCAGCCAGGAAGCAAGTCTACACATTTCTACGTGGCTTCAACTGCCTGTTGTGGATTCCATTGACTGATAAATTCATGTTTTGGTTTGACCATCACCGGCTCTTTTCCAACCTGACCCTATATCAGCTAACATTCCCCGTCGAGGAAGGCGATGGATGGCTAGGCATGCGTAACGCATGTCCTAACCATCTCAGTCGATGTAGCTTCACAGCTTCATCGATTGGTTTCCCCTCTTTACCTAGCACTCGACCAATGCCTAAGCTCAATATTGCTCACTCTATTATACCACTTCACACAGGAGATAGAACGCAGACACCTATGATCAAAGACAGCTACCAGCCTTTTCATGTCTTCCAATCTCAGTGGCCAGGTCTCGCAGCCATAGAGGATGACGGAGCCGACTGAGGAGCAGTACACCCGCCCTTTGGTCAATAGCCGGATATCGCGTCTACGCTAGAGACGGCGTAAACTGGCTTATGTGAAACTATCCCTCTGTGTTCGTGCTGAGATTTCGTCAGAGATCAACCCATTGGGTCTGATGCAACTTCCAAAATAAGTGAAGCGGTCAATATGCTCTACCACTCCACTTCCTATTTCTAAGCTAGGAGTTAATGCAGTTCAGTCCTGTAACATCACCTTACATTTGGCGGGAGCAAACAGCATGCCAAACATTCGTGCATTGCTGCCTGTTAAGGTGTTCAGAACTCTGCATTTTGTCAGCGTCTTCCTCACCTGGCAGGGAGGACTATATCGTCTGCATATTCTAAGTCAACAAGATTATTCCCCGGTAGCAAGTCAATCCATGAGTCTCTGAAGTGAGTTAGGGTTATGTTCATTTGTACATCTATGATGAAGTTGAATAGAAATGGGATAGTGGGCATCCCTGACGGACACCACTAGTTGTCACCACTTCAGATGACAACTCGCCGTAAGCCCTCACCTGGCTGCTTGAGTTCGAGTAGACTGCTTTAATCAGTGCAATGTATTTTCTCGGAATTCCCTTTACAGCCAAGCATCGCCAGAGAACCTCTCGGTTGACAGAATCGAATGACGCCTTTAGGTCAAGAAATATAATGATTGTTGGACGCCGGTAGGAATCCCTATGTTCTAGAATCTGTCGGAGGGTGAAGATATGATCAATACACCCTTTTCCTAGTCTAAAGCCTGCCTGGGTCTCGTGTTTGCGCCTCCCGAGCACGACTTAGTCTACACAATATTATTGGGCTTAGGACTTTAGATATTATATTAGTCAAGCTAATCCCTCTGTGATTATCACAGGAAGACTTGTCTCCCTTCTTGTATATGGGGATAATCAGTGACTTATACCAACCCGGCGGGACTTCCTCTGATTCCCAGACGCTGCCTAGTACCTCGGTTAACGCAGACAGTAAACTGTCTCCACCGTACTTAAATACCTCTACAGTCATTCCATCAGGTCCATTGCTTTAATTCATTCCAGACTAGTATCAGCTTTTGTAACTGCAGTAAGGGTCGAAGGATCGGTGTTAATATCTCGTTCAGGAAAGTGTTGGATTCTGGGTAAGTTGAGTGTGACTGTAGGCCAATTAAACTGCTTCTCAAACTGTTCTTTCCAACATTCCAGTTGCG